TGCTGGAAGCGCTCGGGGCCGGCCTTGGGCGGGGCCGCGGGGCCGGGCAGGGGCTGGAAAGGAGCCGGGATCAGCGGGAAAGTCCGGGAATGTTCCGGGGCTTTGAGCAGCGGGAAAGGCTGGGAATGCTGGGAATGCTGGGAATGGGGGGACTGGGAATGCTGGGGTTGGGAATGATGGGAATGCTGGGGTTGGGAATGGGGGGACTGGGAGTGCTGGGAATGCTGGGACTGGGAATGGGGGGACTGGGAGTGCTGGGAGTGCTGGGGCTGGGCATGGGGGGACTGGGAGTGCTGGGAATGCTGGGGTTGGGAATTCTGGGAGTGCTGGGAATGCTCGGGGGGGACCCCGAAGAGCCCCGGGGGAGGCTCCGGGCGCGGCGGCTCCGAGGGAGGCCGGGGCTGGGAGGGAGGCCGGGAATGGGGCCGGGATGGGGGCCGGGGCAGAGGCTGGGGCTGGGAGGGAGGCCGGGCCGGGATCTGGGGGATTGGGGGGATCTGGGATATCTGGGATGGGATCTGGGATGGGATGGGGGTCGTGGGGTCCCCCGGGGACGCTCCCGGGAGCTTCGGCTGCAACAGAAGGAGAGGAAAGAGCTCGGTTAGTGCGGGGGAGGGGAGGGACAGGAGGGAATTCCCAGGGGGAAAAAAAGCTCGGGAAAAGCGCCGGGAATTCCCTCCCCCCCCAGGAAAAATCCCCATCCCAAAATCCAAAAATCCTGGCTCCGAAATCCAAAATTCCCACCCCGAAATCCAAAAATTCTGACTCCGAAATCCAAAATCCCCATCCCGAAATCCAAAAATCCTGGCTCCGAAATCCAAAATTCCCATCCCGAAATCCAGAAATCTGGGCTCCAAAATCCAAAATCCGCATCCCGAAATCCAAAAATTCTGGCTCTGAAATCCAAAATCCCCATCCCGAAATCCAAAAATCCTGGTTTTGAAATCCAAAATCCCCATCCCGAAATCCAAAAATCCTGGTTCTAAGATTCAAAATCCAGATCCCAAAATCCAGAATCGCGATTCTGAAATCGCCATCCCAAAATCGAAAATCCCGATCCCCAAATTCAAAATCCTGATCCGAAAATCCCGGGAAAATCCCAGGGAAATCCTGGGAAAATCCACCCTGAGGATTCCCAAGGCACCCCCAGGACCCCAATCCCATTTTTTGGGAATATTTTGGGTCACACCGAAAGCAAATCCACCCTTGGGAATTTGGGAAATCCCCAGATCGCCTCTGACCTGGACTTCCCTCTGGAGCAATCCCAAAAAATAATAATTTTCCATTTTTTTCTCCCCCAAAAAATTCCCCATTCCTGTTTTTTTTCCCCCCCATTCCAGGGATGATTCCGGATGGATCCGACCACCCCCCCTTCCCCATTCCCGAATTTTTGGGGAATTTTTGGGGGGAATTCCGGGGGTTTTGGGGGTGCAGAGGAGCAGCAGCAGCCGGGGTTAGTGAGCGCCAAGCGAGCGGAGCAGCCGGAAAAACGGGGCGGGAATTTCTGGGAATTTTTGGGATTTGGGAATCCTGGATTGAGCCGGGGGGAGGGGGGGGGAGGAATTCCGGGAGATCCAAGAGTGGGGAGGGGTTTGGGTCCCTCGGGGTGGATCCAGGGGGGATCCGCTCCCAAATCCCAAATTTCCACTCTCAAATCCCAAATTTCCGCTCTCAAATCCCAGATTTCCGCTGCTGGGTCCCAGCTTTTCCATGCCTGGATCCCGGTTTTCCGTTGCTGGATCCCATTTTTCTGCTCCCAGATCATTTTCCCCACCATTCCCAGGGAATCCCTGAATCCTGGCAATCCCCAAATCCCAGAAGGTTGGGGATCCCGAAATTCTGCAAATTCCCCAAACCCTGGGAAAAATCCCCAAATCCTGGGGATGCCTGAATCCAAGAAATCCCAGAATCCCAGGAATGCCTGGAATCCCCAAATCCCAGAAAACCCCAAATCCCAGAAATCCCTAAATCCTGGGAAAACCCAAATCCTGGGAATCCTCAAATCCTGGAAATCCCAGAATCCCAACAATCCCCGAATCCTGGGAATCCCCAAATCCCAACAATCCCCAAATCCTGGGAATCCCCATATCCTGGGAATCCCAGAATCCCGGGACTCCCCCAGATCCCAGGACCCCCCCAAATCCCAAGAACCCCCAAATCCCGGGAATCCCAGAACCCCCCAAATCCCCAAATTCCCGAATTCCCTCACCTGCTGCAGGAACATGGGCACGCTGTCCTGGCCCAGCACGGGCGCGGCGCTGCCGGTGCCGGCCGCCGTTCCCAGCAGGATTTTCTCGGGGCTGGCGGCGAGGCCGGGGCTGGGCTGGGCGCTCCCAGCCCCCAGCGCCGCCGGTGCCGCCGCGGCGCCGCCGGAGCCACCGGAACCGGGCTCGGCACCGGCGCCGGCGCCGGGACTGCCGGCGGCCGCCTGGATGCTGACGGCGGCTCCCAGCCCGTCGCCGGCGTTGAGCATGGCCACCGGGCTGGCCAGGGTGACTCCCTGGATCACCGTGGGCGCCGGCGCCGGCGCCGAGCCGGGGCTGGGCAAGGGCCCGGCCAGCGACACCGGCATCTGGAACAGCGCCGGCGGCGCCACCTGGCCCGGCTGCAGCTGGATGGGCGCCGCCGACAGGATGTGGGCCGTGCCCGCCGCGCCCGGCGACGCCAGCACCGGGCCCAGGTTGAGCTGCCCGGCCAGGTTTTGGTTGAGGAGCTGCGCCGGTAAGGCCGGGTTGGCCAAGAGCTGGGCGCCGGCGCCCTGGCCGGCGATGATGTGAGTTTGGCCGGCTCCCGGCAAGAGCTGGCCGCCCACGTTGGCCGGCAGCGCCGAGAGCGGCTGCGGCAGCGGCACGGCCGAGGCGCCGGCGAGCTGCCCCGGCAGCAGGAATTGGTTCTGGCCCTGGAAGGGCTGCGCCGGGATGACGATGGAGCCGCCCTGGTTGAGCACGTGCACGCTCATGGACTTGCCCAGCGCCGGCGGCTGCGGCGGCGGAGGCTTGAAGACGTTGGGGGGGAAGCTCTGGAGCACCACGTTGGGCGCGGCTTTGCCGGCCATGAACGTCAAGTTCTGCTGCGTCTTGGCCGGCGTCTCGCCGGGCAGCGCCAGGGCGCCGCCGGGGGCGAAGGGTTTTGGCGTGATCTGGTAAAGCTTCTGCTGCAGCACGCCGGCGGGCTTGGGCTGGATGGGCGTGGGCGTGCGGTGGATGATGACGTTGGGCGCCGGCACCAGGGAGCCGCCCAGGCCCGAGGTGACGGTGAGCGGCTGCGCCGACGCCGCCGACACGCCGCCGAACACGGAGCTGCCGTTCAGCGTGGTGGTGGCCACGGCCGGAAGGCTCTTCTGGATCACCAGCCCCGCGCCCTGCGCCGCGCCCGCCTCGGGCTGCGCGATGTAACCGGCCACCGGCGCCGGCTTGGCCAGCAGCTGCGGCGCGGCCGGCTGGTTGATGGCCATCACCTGCTGGCCCACCACCTGGATGGGTCCCAGGCCCAGGGCGCCGCCGGGGCTGCCGTTGGGCAAACCGGGCAAGTTTGGCAAGGGTTGGATGGTGACGTTGCCCAGGCCCACCTGCTGCAGGAAGGGCTGGACGCTGATGGCTTTGTTGACCACGTCCGGCGGCTGCACCAGCGCCTGCGGGGCCAGCACGGCCGGCGGCTGCAGGCCCAGCAGGTCGGCGCCGCCCGAGAAGATCTGGGGCGTGCCGTCGGCCGCCTGCACCACCGGCTGCAGCGCCGGCAGCTGGAAGGAGCCCAGGTCCAGCTCGGCCTCGGCCTCCAGCGTCTGCTCGGTGATGTTGGCCTCCTGCAGGCTCTGCTGGAGGATGTCGCACGGCTGCTCGGCGCCAGCGCCGGCACCGGGGCCCGGCGAGCCCAGGATGTCATCCTCCAGGAAGTCCAGGTCCACGCTGGCCGGCGGCTGGCTCGGTTCGGCGCTCAGCGGGTTGCCACCGGCGGCTTCTTGACCGTGGAGCTGCGGGGGGGTGGCAATGGGGGTGGGGTGAGATGGGGGGAGGGGTTTGGGGAACTGGGCGAGAGCAACGGAGCCCAACGGAACCCAACGGAACCCAATGGAAATCAATGGAAATCAATGGAGATCAATGGAGATCAATGGAACCCAACAGAACCCAACCGAACCCAATGGAAATCAATGGAGATCAATGGAGATCAATGGAGATCAATGGAGATCAATGGAGATCAATGGAACCCAACAGAACCCAATGGAAATCAATGGAGATCAATGGAACCCAACGGAACCCAACAGAACCCAACGGAACCCAGCAGAACCCAATGGAAATCAATGGAGATCAATGGAGATCAATGGAGATCAATGGAACCCAACAGAACCCAACCGAACCCAATGGAAATCAATGGAGATCAATGGAACCCAACAGAACCCAACAGAACCCAACGGAACCCAATGGAGCCCAATGGAAATCAATGGAGATCAATGGAAATCAATGGAGATCAATGGAGATCAATGGTGATCAATGGAACCCAACGGAACCCAACGGAACCCAATGGAAATCAACAGGATCCAATGGGATTCAACGGAACCGGGAATTCCTCATCTCTCCCTTTTCCCACCTTTTTATTACCCCGGAGAAAAAACCACGGGGAGTCAAAAAAAAGGGAATTCTCCACCCAAAAAAGGGAATTCTCCACCCAATAAAGGGAATTCTCCACCCAAAAAAGGGAATTCTCCACCCAATAAAGGGAATTTTCCACCCAAAACCCGCAGGATTTTCCCGGGAATTTTTTCCTCTTTGCGCAGCCCTGGGAACAGGGAGTGAATTCCCCGAAATTTGGGAATTTTTTCCCGGGGGAGGGGGGGTTACCTACCCCAGCACCCTCGAAAAAGGCACTGGCGGCATCTCCGGAATTGTCCAGGAGATCGTCACTGTCGATCTGGAACCGGAAAAATCGGGAATGGATGGAGGGGAATTCGGGAATTGTGGGGTGAGGAGGGGGGAAATGGGGAAAAATGGGGGAAAATTGGGAAAAAATGGGGAAAAATGGGGGAAAATGGGGAAAAAGGGGGAGGAAATGGGGAGGAAACAGGGGGAAAAATGGGGAAAAATGGGGGAAAATGGGGAAAAAAGGGAAAAAAGGAAAAAAAAAAAATCAGGATGTGGGTGAGGGCCCCGAATTCCTGCCTGGGCAAGCTGGGAAAAAAATTCCAGGAGAAAATCCCGGGCGGGGCTGGGGGCTGAGGATGGGGAGGGGAGGGGAGGGAATCGGGAATTCCGTGGGAAAATCGGGAATTTGGGATTTGGGATTTGGGGGGAGGGGCGCTCACCTTCTCGGATCCATGGAGGAAATCGTTCAGGGCCTGCGGATCGCTGCGGGAGCAGGGAACAGTCAGGGGGGAATTCCGGGAATTCCGGGAATTCCAGAGGGACCAGGGACCTTTCCCACCTTCCCAAATCAATTCCCACCTCCTCTGGGACAATTCCAGCCCTTTTTTAGGGACATTCCCCCCAAAATTCCCACCTTTCCCAGGGTCTCTCCTGCTACAATTCCCATTTTTTTGGGGGTCGTTTTCCAGGTAATTCCCATTTTTTCGGGGCCATTCCCACCCTGGTTTTTATTTGGGGGGGGGGGTCGTTCCCAGGACGAGAATTCCCACTTTTCCAGGCCGGGAATTCTGGGAATTCCGGGACTCACCAGATGACGTCTAACAGGCACCGCCCGTCCTCATCATCCATGACACCTGCAACGACACACAGCGTCATTTCCCATGGAAAACACCGGAAAAATCCCGGGAAAACACCGGGAAAATCCCGGAAAAACCCAGGAAAAATCCCGGAAAAATCCCGGAAAAATCCCGGAATAAACCCCGGAAAAATCCCAGAAAAAATCCCAGAAAAACCCTGGAAAAATCCCAGAAAAATCCCCGGAAAAATCCTGGAAAATCCCGGGAAAATCCTGGGAAAACCCCAGAAAAATCCCAGAAATACCCCGCAAAAATCCCGGAAAATCCCCAATCCCCGAAATCCCGGGATTCAGGGCCCTTTTCCCGCTTTTTTTCCCCCAAATCCTCGGTTTTGTCGTGGTTTTTTTTGGGAGGGAGAAGTGGGAAAAGGGAGGGGGGGGAAGGGAAATCTGTCGGGAATTGGTTCCAGGAATTCCTGGAAAAATCCTGGGAAATTTTCCCCCAGGAATTCTAAAACGGGGGCGGGGGGGGGAAGAACTGATCCCAAAAATCCCTCAGGGAATGAAGTGATCCCAAAATCCCCCCGGGGAAATTCGGGATTTATCCCAAAAAAATCCCTGAGGGAAATTCAGGATTTATCCCAAAAAAATCCCTGAGGGAAATTCAGGATTTATCCCAGAATTCCCTCCTGGATCCTGGAGCCCAGAGCCCCCAAGAACGAAATTCCCGGGATTTTTTGGGGTTTTTTTTTGGGAACAGCCTAAAACCAGAGCCCAGCCCGGAATTTTCCAGGGATTTTCCATCCCAGGGATTCCTTCCAGAATTCCCAAAATTCCCGGGGAAACCCAGGGAAAACTCAGGAATTCTCTCGGGGAAATTCGGGAATTCTCTGGGAATTCCGGGAATTCCAGCCCCGGGCAGAATTCCCAGAATGAAATGTGGATTTGGGGCAGAATTCCAGGAATTCCCTGGGAAAAGCAGCCAAAGAATTCCCAAAATTCCGATTTTCCCGGGAATTCCGGCCCGTTCGGATCAATCCAATCAATACCTGATCAATCAACGCATTCATTAATCAGCCTCTAATTAATGAATGTAATTAATGGACGCTCAATTAATGAACCAGAGAATGATTGATTGATCAAGCCCCTAATTAACCGGCCTGATATCAAATCCATTAATTAATCTGATTAATTAATCAATGTTGAGCCTCGTTGATCTATTAATCAACAGCTGAGCTAATCAATCACTGATATCCCACTGATTAATTTACCTAATAAAGGCAGGAATCAATTAATAACAGGGTTAATTAAACAGGGAAACCGGCCACTAATCACACACCCAATTAATTCTGTTAATAACTGACAATTAAACGCCTCACAATCAATCAATAATTAATTAATTGATCCAATACCTGACCCCACAGATCGTTAAGGGATTATTGATCAGTTATTAATCAATTACTGACTGGAGCTGTTGAACCATTAATGAATTAATAGGGCAATTAATGACCTGTTAATTGATCAGCTGTGGGATCAATTGATCAGACTCACAGCTGGGGATCAATGGGGTCATTGATCAATACCTGATCAATACCTGATCAATACCTGATCAATACCTGATCAGTCAGTGATTGACAGCTGCCACGGCCACAGGCATCACTAATCGATCACCAGAGCACGGATGGGTCATTGGTTATCGATTATCGATTATCAGTTATTGATTATCAGTTATTGATTATCAGTTATTGATTATCGGTTATTGATTATTGGCCAGCAGCCAATGAGCAGAGCCAGGGGATCCCAGAGATTCCCACGGGATTTTAACGGAAGGGGAAAAAATTCCTGGGGCCAGGCTGGGAAAACCCAATCCCAGTTCAGAAAAACCATTCCCAGTTCAGAAAAACCATTCCCAGTCTGGAATTCACCATTCCCAGTTCAGAATTCTCCATTCCCAGTTCGGAATTCACCATTCCCAGTTCAGAAAAACCATTCCCAGTTCAGAAAAACCATTCCCAGTTCGGAATTCACCATTCCCAGTTCAGAAAAACCATTCCCAGTTCGGAATTCACCATTCCCAGTTCAGAAAAACCATTCCCAGGTCACAAAGACCCAATCCCAGTTTGGAAAAACCAACCCCAGTTCAGAATTCACCAATCCCAGTCCCGGATTCTCCATTCCCAGTTCAGGATTCCCCATTCCCAGGCCGGACATGCCAATCCCAGTCCAAGAAAAACCCAATCCCAGTTCGGAATTCTCCAGTCCCAGTCCAAGAAAACCCAGTCCCAGTTCTGAGTCCATCATTCCCAGTTCTGAATCCATCATTCCCAGTCCGGGATTCTCTGCTCCCAGTTCAGAATTCCCCATTCCCAGTCTGGAATTCTCCATTCCCAGTCTGGAATTCCCCATTCCCAGTCTGGAATTCCCCATTCCCAGTCTGGAATTCTCCATTCCCAGTCTGGAATTCTCCATTCCCAGTTCAGAATTCCCCATTCCCAGTCTGGAATTCTCCATTCCCAGTCTGGAATTCTCCATTCCCAGTCTGGAATTCCCCATTCCCAGTCTGGAATTCCTCATTCCCAGTCTGGAATTCCCCATTCCCAGTCTGGAATTCCCCATTCCCAGTTCAGAATTCCTCATTCCCAGTCTGGAATTCCCCATTCCCAGTCTGGATCTGCCCAGGCCCAGTTTGAGCCCCAAACCCGCGGGATCGGAGCAAGGACGGAGCAGGGAACAGGACTGGGATTGACTCGGGGATACTCCGGGGATACTCCGGGGGTACTTCAGGGATACTCCAGGGATACTCCGGGGATACTCCAGGGGATACTCCAGGGGATACTTCAGGGATACTCCGGGGATACTCCAGGGATACTCTGGGGATACTCCAGGGATACTCCGGGCTTGACCTCTGACCTCTCACCCAGGGGATACTCCAGGACCCGGACCTCGAACTCCAGGGATACTCCAGGGATACCCCAGGAACATTCCAGGGATACTCCGGGGATACTCAGAGCCTGACTCTCAGCACACTCAGGGGATACTCCAGGGATACTCCAGGGATACTCCAGGCAGGAATTCCAGCCCCAAACTCCTACTCAGGGGTTACACACGGCACCAATTCCACTCTCCAGCCCCATGCTCCGGGG